CAGTTGCGTCATTATTTTCCAATAAAGCTTTGTAATCGAATTCCTTTGATACGTCGTGCACCATTGTTAATGTTAAAATTTCCATAGCAATACATACGAAGCCCATAAAAAGCCCGGGAAAGTTAACGTCTAATAAATGCCAACGTCCTATAAAAAAGCTCATATCTTTAAAAAAAAAATTTATCCCAGGACCTAGCATGAATCCTAAATTATGCATTACTGATAAAACTGATAGTTTTGAACTTGTTTCAGAAGCCGGGTAACATCTTATTGTTTCACTAAATATTACAGATTTCAACGATCCACCAAAACCGGCAACAATCCTTCCTGCAACTAAAAAAGCTGGCGAAAAAGGAATACTGTAGAGTACATTTCCAGTGAGCATTAACAAATTACACAACAAAAAACAGCTTTTAATATTTCGATACTTATCGACGATTCTTCCTATAAATGGCATCACAATAGTAGATGCTAGCATAAATGAAACAGAAACAACACTATACAGCAATTTCGGCGAGTTTGTGTTAATCATTTCTTTGATGTACAACCATAACGTTAAAAGAGTAAGTGTGTACTCAATTCCAATAATAATCAATTGAATTGAAAATGCAATAAAAGTGAGTTTTCTTTTTCTTAACCATTTTTCATTTTGTTGCGCATTTAGATCCATAATCTATGACAAAATGGTTTTCAAACTTTTCAAATGAAATTTTTTATTACAGAACATTTACTAAATTTAAATACAACGTCAGTTACAAAGAAAACATACCTTATATATGTATATAAGAAAATATACTTTTTATTAAACTTTTTATAAACTGCTATAAAACAATCTTCTTTCCAAACTTAATATTTGGAATAAATCAAAAGCAACCTTAAAGTTTTATATTTTAAACTGTTATTTGCAAATCAGATCGCAAATAATATGATTTGTAAATGATAATGCAAATAAATTTCAATTGTCAATATTTCTTTAAATTAATTGTAAGTTTTCCCTTTTACGACGTATTTTGTTTGTTTTTTTAGCTACTTGTTTGTTTATACTTAACCTTTAACAATCAATTAAATTCCTTTATAGATTATAACGTATAATAAATATAACATATAAAAAATATAATACATAACAAATATAACACACACACCCACATATATATATATATATATATATATATATATATATATATATATATATATATATATATATATATAAAATATATATATATATATATATATATATATATATATATATATATATATATATATATATATATATATATATATATGTAACATATATATATATATATATATATATATATATATATATATATATATATATATATATATATATATATATATATATATGTAACATATATATATATATATATATATATATATATATATATATATATATATATATATATATATATATATATATATATGTATATATATATATATATATATATATATATATATATATGTTACATATATATATATATATATATATATATATATATATATATATATATATATATATATATATATATATATATATATATATATATATATATATGTTACATATATATATATAATATATATATATATATATATATATATATATATATTTATATATATATATATATATATATATATATATATATATATATATATATATATATATATATATATATATATATATATATATATATATATATATATATATATATATATATATACACAGAGGCGATTCAACGAATAAAATGAGGGGACAGGGTGAATCCTCAAAAAGTACCAACTAGCTTCCAAAAAAAAAAGGTCCTTAAACAAAAAATTTAACCGGCTGAATTGTGTCAAACTGTCGACCAGCCAACTAATTTAGTAAAAAGACCGACTATAACCTTCCTTGATAGAAAATCACCCCCTTCCTTACACTCACACCCCTCCCCCCCCCCCTCGTAAAATTGCCTCTTTATATACATTGTATATAAAGAGGCGATTTTACGGGGGGGGGGGGGGGGGAAGGGGGTGTGAGTGTAAGGAAGGGGGTGATTTTATATCAAGGAAGGTTATAGTCGGTCTTTTTACTAATTAAACTATTATATACTAATTAAACTATTAGTCGGCTGGTCGACAGTTTGACACAATTCAGCCGGTTAAATTTTTTGTTTAAGGACCTTTTTTTTTTGGAAGCTAGTTGGTACTTTTTGAGGATTCACCCTCCCCCCTCATTTTATTCGTTGAATCGCCTCTGTATATATATATATATATATATATATATATATATATATATATATATATATATATATATATATATATATATATATATATATATATATATATATATATATATAAACACACACACATAAGTGTTATAATATAGTATTTATAATACTTATGTGTGTGGGTTAGAAAATATTATAATATAATATTTTCTAACAGAGCAAACTTAGTATGAAGAGTTGATCAAAGTTTTTTGAACATTTTTTTTCTTTTTTAAAAAAATTACCCAAGATTTTAGAAAAAAAAAGTATTATTAGTAGACGTTTAGTCGTTTCAGAGCATAAGCACTCTGAAATTCGCTCCGTAAATTATACTTTTTTTTTTGTGTGTTTATAAACAAAGATGACAGACAAAATCTATTCTAAAAAATTGGTAAAAACATCAATATTTTTACTAAAATATCAAAAGTTAAAAAAAAATTAATAAAAGATAACAAAAAATATCAAAGTAATATAAAAGCAGTGATTTTAATCCTCATAGTATATGAAACACAAACACATTGTTTGCAAATATTGCTTCATAAAAATTGTGTTTCTTATATATAACATCAAAGTTTAAATATTGATAAAACTGTTATCAAAAAATATAGATCAGTATTTAAAATTTAAATAAATAAACAATAATTAAACAAATATTAAATAAAACTACATTAATTTATAGTTTCTACAGGTAGTAATTTCTACTATAAGTTAGCATAAGTGATACACGTTTAGAAAGGTATAGTTTTCTACCTTCTTGACACAAGTGTTATTATGATATCTCTTGATATACAATATATCAATATATCTTGAGTAAAATTTACATTAATAAAGTAGTATACTATTGTGTTGTGTATAATTTTTTCTTTCTTATATAAACTAATACAATTATATTCTTCTCAACCAACATAATATCTTGTTATTCATTACACTTTTAAGGTAGAAATATACCACTGAGGTAGAAAACTGTACGAATATCATTTTAATAAAATTTTCTACTATAGAAGGTAGAAAATTATAACTTACTAATTTAAATACGAGGCGTCATTAGAAAAATGTATACTATCACATTTCATCCTGAAATGTGATCAAATATGTAATTAATTTGAGAAATTATTACATTTAGCAAAAATATTCAGCCCAACTGGGTGGATGCAAGCAACGCTAATCAGCGTAAACCATTTTTTAATTGGTACGTGAGGTAAGTGATCTTCTTATAACATATGTGATCTTAGTATTATCTATTATTAGTGTTACCTTTCATTCGTTTGATTTGATGAGCTTACCAAGACTCTATACTTTGATCCATTTTCATTCCAATTCAAAGCTAAAGTAAATATCATTATTTAATCTAAAATTAAAATGATCATTCTTTTGGTAAGGGTGTTTGTGTTGGTTGAGGTGCTTTTAGTAACAATCTAAATTTTTGGAATCAATTAATATGTAATCAACGAAGTGCATTTTTTTTATTACCGCAATTTTGTATAATACATTTTTTTTTTTTACTATTATTTTTATAATTTTTAACTTTGTTTGCTTTTGTTAAAATTTATTTATCATTTAATATATTTACATAATATATTTGTCTGTTTATATTTTTTTTAATCACAATAATTTGAATAAAACTTGAATAAAGTTGAGTAAGTTTTAATAAATTAAAAGAATAAATAAATAAAAAGAGTAAATTTTAATAAATTTACGCAATACAGTTTACTAATAAACTTTAATCCCTTACTCCATAAAGTTTATACACACGACAATTTTTATCGACTCAGTTTATACTACTTCACCTTTTTTCAAGTAATATTTAATTTATAAATATACGCAAATTATTTTTTTCAATTTCATTTAGGTGCCCCAAGAAGTCCTTACGGTCTTATCACAGAGCACCGCGGATGAGCATTTAATTGGAAGTTCACGCCTCCTTCCGATATTGCAAAATTTGCCCAGATGGGGTTTGGTTTAAACTATGGGGCTTGAACCAGGGATCCTTTATTTTTATATATATATTAATATATATATACTAGCTGGGTTGACCCGTAAAAATACGGGTCTTTGTAATTCTATTCCACACAAAACTTTTCCCTTATTTTCTTAATCTAGCTGTCCGTATCGGTAAATACAGGTCTTTTCTTCTACTTCTATATTTATTTATTCCACGCCAATCATTTCTTTACTTGTTCCTTATTTACTTCAATATTTTTTAGTAAACAGTGGAAAAAAATTCATCAAAAAAATTTGCTTTGAGAGCAAAAAAAAAACATTAACATACCGCATACGTATATAGCTTATTAAACCCCGTTTATTAATTTTTTTTAAAACTAAACTACTTCCTACATTTAGACCAGCCATGGACCATGGTTTATGGTCGCGTCCTAGCCATTTTTAATAGTTACTATTTACTATATTTATTATTATTATTATATGCTTAGTTTAGAATAATAACGGTCTTTTATAGTTATCTTTGTATTAGACGGAAACGGTAATGCAATTCTTTACAACGTTAGTCGCTTAAAGCGCCAAAAGTCATGCAAAAAAATAAATTATAAATTTTGCGGTTTAAAAGTTGAAAAACTAATAATAATATAACAAAAAGTTTGGTAATTTTTAAACGTTATTATTTAGCTCTTACTTATGGTATTTATTTTGTTTTCATTTTACATTTTTAAAAAAATGTTGAAGCGCCTCACTACATGCATAACTTTGATAGCTCACAAGTTAAGTGCGCTGTCATCAGATTCGCTGTGCAAGGCTTCAAATCCGCGCCTAAAAAATCTCAATACATTTTTTTAAATTTTCTTAATCTGGCTATATTTATAGCAAAAAATTAAATATAACAAAAAACCTTTTAATTGCTTTTTTTTTCCCTGCCTCCACTGCAATACCATGTGGAGTAACAGGACGGTTTTATCAAATTTTTTCTTTATTAGGTTTAAGAACCTTTTTTTTAAGACTATCCGTAGCTTATTAGGACCAATTATGTGAGAACAGTATCAAAATCGTGACACACACGCAACAAATTTTCGCCCCGTTTATTGGTGTTTTTAGAAATCCAAAAAATTTATAAAATTTAAAAAGAAAAAACGGTTAAAGTGTATAACATTTAACTTGTTTAACTTCACAAATATTTTGTAATTTAAAGAAAAAAATCACTGGTGGTAAATTTGAACCACGACTATTACTTTCAGAAGCTTAGCGCGCTAACCACTCGGCCATGCTGACACATCAAATATCGAAATTTTAAAAATATATAAAAATTGTTTTTAACGGAATTGCTGTAGATCAAAAGTTAAGGAGAGGTTGACGCAATGCAATTTTTAAGTCAAAGTCAAACTATAAAACTTGAAAAATGTTTCAGTATGTTTTATTATTACTTAATTACGTACGTTAGATATTTGCATACACGTTTTCTTCTAAAAAAAGTGCTGCGACTCTTTCTACTAACACTACTATTAAGTTCGGCATTATTATATAGAAGATAGATAGATTATAAAATAGTTTTTCACTTAAAAGGACAAACTCTATTCCACATTAACCTTATCTCTATTTTTCCCTCTAATGTTTTTTAGCGAACAATAGATTATGTGCTAGAAAAAAAAAATTCACATATGCACCTTTTCCGTATATTTATATTTAGAGCTTAACATGAAGAAGGTAAATCATTTAGTTCAAGACAACCTGCCCAAACCCAAATCCTCTGTTGATTTATGCACACTCACTGTGGCTAGGCCTGTAAAATAAGTAGCTAGGCAAGTCAAATAAATTAACTCGATCTGTTTATCTGCATAAAACAAAAACAGAAAATGTGAAGTACTTGATAAAAGGAACTGTAATATTGGATTTAGTTAATTCAATACAAAGTGATAGGAAACTGCAAAATAAGGTAACAACGTGAAAATTATTCAAATACTAATTTACAACAATTTGTATTGCGTTTTATTAAAATAGCTTTATTAAATAATATGAAGATTGATAATTTTTCTTCTTCGCCTTTAGAAAATGATTAACGATTTGAAAGACTTCTAATTTGATTATAAAAGCATTATCTAAAAATGAAATAAAATCATTATTGATAACACTGAATGCACATTTATTTGTTTTATGTTAATTCATTTGAAAAATGAAAAATACGAAACGAAATTTAGTAATATTAAATAAATATTAGACACATACTTTGTGAGAGTGCTTTTGTAAAAGTCTCTAATATTTGGTTGAAAGGCTGGAAATACTCTTTTTTTAAAAAAATTCAGTTTTATCAGCATTGCTAAAGATAAAAATTCTTACTGACACAAAAAAATTAGGCATTTTTTCTTAAAATATTTCTTGGCTTTTAGTGAATGATTAGGAGTAAGTTTCAGTAATGAAGCTATCCAATAATCATTTTTAACGATAGACACCAACGTGAAGGTGAGCCAAGCTGTCTATCAACACAAAACATCACAACAACATTACAGGATGAAAAACAATAACACCAGTAGTGTAGGCAGGATTTTTGTTGTTTCAGATATATATTTAGAAGCTGTTGAAGAGTTTAACTTTGTTATGTCTAAAAAAATTCAGGTTAGGAAAAACACTTTTTTTAAACATTTGTTCCTAAGCTTTAACAACATCAATTTTTTGCAAAGTATTTTAATTCTATAAACGTGAATACACTTAAGTTTGGTTGAAAGTGCTATCTGAAGCATCAAAAGACCCTGCCTATGCTACTGAATACACATAGCATCAAATATTTGTACATAACACATTTGCACATAACACAAAATATACAGATTATGTGTTTCCAGAATAATTAAAAAAGCTAGACAACACAACCTAGCTCAACACTTGTAACACCGCTTGGCACTAAACGCTGCCAAGTAACACTACAATTTAGTAACACCGCTTGGCATAAAGTGCCAAGTAACACCACTAATTAGTAACACCGCTTGGCTAGCAAGAATCACAATCTTGCACTACACGTTGCCAAGTAACACCACTTTTCACATGGAAACAACTTAATATAAACTTGTATAAACTTAAGCGCATAAATATAAATAAAGATATATAAACGCATATAAACACATACATTTATATGCACATATAGCAAAAAAAAAAAAAAAAAACATACAAAAAATATAAAACACATATAACACATAATATACTTGTCAAAATTATAAATTAAGAACATTTGTAAAGACAACATTATTTGTGTAATGTTTGTTAAATGACATACCTTGTAATGGATGTTTATCAACTTTGAAAAACAAACTATTAAATGATCTTGTTCTTGAACATGCAACATATAATTGGCCGTGTGAAAAGCAAGGCTTTTTGAGATAAACACCAACTTTTTCAAATGTTTGACCTTGACTTTTATTTATGGTCATTGAGTATGCTAACCTAACTAGAAACTGACGGCGTTTAAGTGTAAAAGGTAAATTTGCATCTGATGGAGCTAATTGAACTCGAGGAACAAATACCCTGTTACCCTGATACACCTGTTAAAACCTCACCATCAATATTATTGTTGTGTAATGCACGCACCATCAAACGGGTTCCATTACAAAGTCCACCTTTGAGATCTAAATTTCTAAGTAGCATTATAACAGCACCAATTTTTAATTTTAGGCAATGAACAGGCATACCTGATGGAGTCAAACTATTTAAAAACTTGACTGGAAAGTTGTTAATTTCATTAAGATCATCAGTATCAATGCTATCTGAACTTAAATATGTTTTTACATCACCGGGTAAACGACGAAGGACTTCTTCATTTATTGCCAATGAATCAACATTTGTTGGCGTTAAAATAGCACGTTTTGCATAATCAGCTTCTTCTGCACCACCGAAAATCTTCTCCACAATAGATTCATTATCACTGAGAAAGCACTGCTAAGTTATTTCAATACACCCTCGCAAAGGATCTTCAGGCTTGACAGGTAATGTTCCACTTCCAAGCTTTAAAAGCCATTGAGAAAATTCCTCTTCTTCTATCTGAACCCTCATATTTACAGTTAATGAGAACCTTTGCACATATTGCCAATGTTCAGAACATTTTAAACATGATTCTATAACTTCTGCTGGTCGACCTTGCTTCACAACTGGAAGTATTTGTCTGAAGTCTCCACCCATAAGAATAATCTTACCACCAAAAGGAAAATTGTTATTACAAATATCTTGTAATAGCTTATCAATGGCACTCAAAGCATATTTGGGTATCATAGATGCTTCATCAAGTAAATACAAACTGATTTGTCTCAGGAATCTACCATGAATAGAGTTTGGAGTTACATTACATGTGCTAGTTTCCAAAATTGGAACAGGAAGTTTGAATAAGCCATGCATTGTGCACCCATTTTTGAGAAGAGTTGCAGCTATTCCTGTCCATGCAGCTGTTGCAGTTCTAATATGCCTGCTCTGTGTTTCAGAAATTAAGTAATTGTAAGTAAATTTTTTACCACAACCGGCAGGTCCATCCATAAAAAACAACCTTGAATGCTTATTTTCATTAGTAGGTTCCACACTTAGTGCAGCAAGGATCGCATCAGCTACATTACGTTGATTATCATTCAATAATGGTCTAACTCGGTTTGCTTCATCAATAAACACCTGAACATCTTCATCATCATTTTCTGGGACATTATCTAAAAACTGATCTAAAGCTGGCAAATTATAATCAGCTAAGGTTTTACCACTTTGATTAATTAAAGATTCAATTTGACGAAGAGCTGCCTGCTCAGCAAGTACGACTGGCATTGAATGGTGTATGTAATCCTCAACCATATAATTTTTAAATGTATTCCAAAGGTGTAAAGGATCATCAGGTTCACATAAAGTTAATATGATGAACAACCACCTTATCACTACCTCTTTGTCTTACTTTCCACATGCAATTTTTACCAAAAACAAAGTGATATGGAATTTCAACATAAGAATACTGACGTGCTTCATTATTTTCAGCATTTAACTTAAACCAAGCGGTTAGGTGAGTGTCACGCTGTGCTGCACGATCTATAGCTACTTGTTCTTCTCCTTTGTTAAAATATACTCTCTGATTATCAGGAAGGTGGATTTGAAGGCGGATAATAGTATGTGACATATCACTTATGGAATACTCATATATTCGCCAAAGAGCCTCTGGGGCGGAAACAAAGCGACAGTCTAAATATGTGTTAATTTCATCATGGTCAACACTTTCATTAATTACCACATTCGCACAATCATGTCCCTTATAGACATATTTGTATAAATACTTCACTGACTTAATAGACATGCAAGCTTCAACATTAATGTGGGCTTGGTATTTTTTGATAACCAGGGGTTATAGGGTACGACCCATCGATTATCAACTTGGTTACCTTTTATAATAACTACTCTACCATTATCTAAACGCCTGTAGTTAGGATAACCATTGAAAATTGCAACAGTGCAAGGATTAAACTCTTTAGGAAATTTTTTTGTGGAAACTCCATCTTTCATGCAAGGAGAATTGGGATTTAAAATCCCACATGGTCCATGAATCATACATGTTTTTACAATTTTAAAAAGTTCAGGATCAACAGTTTGATCTGGAATTTCAGCTGATATTAAACTATCAATATCCTCTGCTGTTTCTAGCTTATCATCGTTTACAAAGTGTAATAAAATATGCACATGTGGCAAACCACGTTTTTGAAACTCAATAACCTGCACATGACTTACAACTTTGCCTAAGACTCCATGTTTAAAAACATCACCTAAGAAGCATTTAAGTTTCATCTTAAATACGCGACAAACTAAATCCGGCCTGTCAGTTGCGCTCTCACCTGGATTTAAATTTTCTGTAATTTCTCTCCATTTTGAATTACAGGTAAAAGTAATAAAAAGATCTGGTTTACCATATTTCTTTATAATTGCCATTGCATCTTCAAAATTTTCTTTTAAAGCTCTTGGACTTCCAACATATGAGGATGGTAGTATAACAACACGACCTGGTCTTACATTAAGGTTATTTGCAACATTATTTACATACTCATGTAATGTATCGTATTGTTCACTTCTAAGTTAGTTTTGGTTATTTCTGATAAAAGCAAGGTGCTGTCCTTCAATCTTGACATATGCATCAACAGCATACCGTTGAAAAAGTTTCTTACCATAAAATATAGGACTGAACGTTTGTCTAATAGAAACCCTATAATTGTAGTACTGAGACAAAGTAACACGATTTCGAACACGTGTTGCTCGGTCAGGATTGTGCTCTAGTTGATCATGCCATCCTGCATCACCTCTTGGAAAAAATATTGGATATATCATTGGATCTAGATTTGCAGACATACTTGAAATTGTTTTTAAGGGTTGACCTCGAGGATAAATAACAACTTCTCTAGATGGAGGTGGAGCACCATCATTTCCTACAAACACAATGGCAACCTCTTCATGTGATGGAAGATTGTATCAACGTCTATCACAACCCTCAAGCAACGACATTTTGACAACAGAAATCGGTCGACCTTCTATAGCAGCTTGACGAATTTCTGCATCTTCAACTTCTGCCATGTTTTTAAATGCAAGCGCATATGGGTTCTCCTGATTAATTATAGTCTGCAAAAGTTCCATTAACTCACGTATGCAACAATCATTTTGCTCCATTCGAAAATTTAAAGCAGTATTAGGATCATAAACATATAATTGACAATAAACAGGTGGATCCCCTTGCTGATGTCTTAGATTACCAATACGATGCATAATTTGCCCACTAATTCTAAAACAGGGTGGACCACGATTTGACGGAGGATCTATTGTGGCTATGAATGAAGCAAAAGATAGACAGGCATTATAATTTTGTATATGCTTGAAAAAATTTTGATTCAAAGCACGATCAACATGGTTGCCTGTCATTAAATCAAACATCAGCGGTGGATAAGGTGAAAGTGGAGGTAAGACAACCTTTCCTGAATGGCAGCACAAAAAATGTGTTTCATTTAAAAAATTTTTAGCACCACAATACTGACAATTATGGTTCATTTCTCCTAGGTAATTACTCTCTATAAAAACATTATTTCTTGCTATGCAATGTATTCCACGCCTAAATAATACTCGTCTAGCCTCATTTCTTTCATTTTGGCGACGATTAACTTCTTCACGTCTAGCCTCATTCCTTTCATTTTGGCGACAATTAACTTCTTCACGTCTAGCCTCATTCCTTTCATTTTGGCGACGATTAACTTCTTCACGTCTAGCCTCATTCCTTTCATTTTGGCGACGATTAACTTCTTCTCGCCTAGCCTCATTTCTTTCATTTTGGCGACGATTAATTGCTTCTCGCCTAGCCTCATTTCTTTCATTTTGGCAACGATTAATTGCTTCTCGCCTGGCCTCATTTCTTTCATTTTGGCAACGATTAATTTCTTCTCGTCTGGCCTCATTTCTCTCATTTCGACGATTTCTTCTATTTTCAGCTCTTAAGTTACTTGACATAATTGAGAAATTATTTATGTTTGATAAAACTTTATCTTATTAGTTTTTTGCTATACTAATCTAAAATGAACAAAAACAATAAAGTGCTATTTATCAGTTTAAACCTATGAAACTATGTGTATAGCGTCTAATAAAATTTGTGAACAAAAGATATAACTAAACTGGTTTGAAACAGAGAAAAAGCCAGAAGTATCTTGTAATAACATATTATATTGTAAATAATAAAACAGTATTTTTTGAAACAAATAAAAAAATTTATTATTTTAAAAGTCATATTAATGGTAATATTAAAAAGCAAAATTAATTACAGGTGTATAGTGCATATATTAGACATATTAAACAGATATCATAGAAAAAGAAAAACTTTAAATATATTTACCAAATCTTTCAAAAACTATATAACACTTAACAAATAAAAGTTAATACAAAAGAAAATTTAGTATTATTAAAATTAAAAATGATGATAAAAAGATGTAAAAACGTAAATTAATAAAAAAACTTATAGACAAATTATTAAAAACTTTTATAACATAAGAGTTCTTTGTAAGTTTAGGATTTAAAAACAGAATTAAAAATCAAAAAAATAAAATAGTAAAAGTATATAAATTAAAATAATAAAAAATTGCGAAATTATAAAAAACATTTTTTTAAAAAGTCAATTTTATTTATAAATAAAAAAGAAGATAATTTTACCAGTAGTTTAAAAAAGCTACTGGTAGAAATTAAAAGAGTTAAACCGCTTTCCAGCACCCCTCCTTCTACCAGTGGTGTCATATGGGGCTTGTCTCCTCCATCTAAAGGAGGGATCATCTCCCCCATATTGACTCCACCGGTAGAAAGCTCTTTGAGATATCGGACCTGAGTGCTGGGAGCGATATCGCAAGAAATCTTGATACGATGCTAAAAAACAAAAACAAAAAAAGAAATAAATTTAAATACAATACTGCACAAAACAACCAATAAAAATATTATTTAAAACTATTTAGACTTCAAAAAAAAAAAAGTTATGACAAAAAAAATTCATAAATAAAGTAATGTAAAAATAAGTATATGCAGTGTTTAAATTTCATATATACCTACACAAATACACATAACACCCACAAAACTGCATAAGTATGCAAAACAGATTACCCGATGGTCCTGCAGATATTGTTGCTATTATGGAAATAAATAAAAAAGTATATGAACTAACACATATATTAAACAGTTATGTAATTGCATACAAACATGAAAAAAGTAATGTTTAGGTTTCAATACACATAAAACTGCATAAGTACGGAAAAACTGCATAAGTATGGAAAACACATTACCTGGTGGTACTGCAGTTGATACAGTTGCTATTGCGGAAATAAATAAAAAAGTATATAAACAAACACATATATTAAACAGTTATGTAATTGCATACAAACACGAAAAAAGTAATGTTTAAATTCCAATACACATAACACTCATAAAACTGCATAAGCATGCAAAACACATAACCTGATGGTACTGCAGATGATATTGATGCTATTGTGAAAGTAAAAAAAAAAAAAGTGTATAAAGTAACATATGTTAAACATTTATGTAATTGATAACAAACATGAAAAAAGTAATGTTTAATTTCAATACACATAAAACCCATAAAACTGCATAAGTATGCAAAACACATTACCTGATGGCACTGCAGATGATATTGATGCTATTGTGAAAGTAAAAAAAAAAAAGTGTATAAAGTATCATATGTTAAACATTTATGAAATTGCATGAAAACATGAAAAAAAAAAAAAAATTAAGTTTCAATACACATAAAACTCATAAAACTGCATAAGTATGCTAAACAGATTACCTGATATTATTGCTTGAGGTGTTAATGTATAGACAAAAAAATAAATAAATAAAGTGATGTGCAAAATAAGATATGCAATCTTCAAGTTTTACATTAAATTACATCATTACCTGATGGTACTGCAGATGATATTGATGCTACTGTGAAAGTAAAAAAAAAAAAGTGTATAAAGTAACATATGTTAAACATTTATGTAATTGATAACAAACATGAAAAAAGTAACGTTTAAGTTCAAATACACATAACACTCATAAAACTGCATAAGTATGCAAAACACATTACCTGATGGCACTGCAGATGATATTGATGCTATTGTGAAGGTAAAAAACAAAAAAAAAAATGTGTATAAAGTAACATATTTTAAAAATTTATGTAAATGATAACAAATATGAAAAAAGTAATGTTTAAGTTTCAATACACATAAAACCCATAAAACTGCATAAGTATGCAAAACACATTACCTGATTGTACTGCAGATGATATTGATGCTATTGTGAAAGTAAAAAAAAAAAAGTGTATAAAGTAACATATGTTATACATTTATGTAATTGTTTACAAACATGAAAAAAGTAATGTTTAAGTTCCAATACACATAACACTCATAAAACTGCATAAGTATGCAAAACACATTACCTGATGGTACTGCATATGATGACATTGGTGCTATTGTAAAGGTAAAAAAAAATTGTATAAAGTAACATATGTTAAACATTTATGTAATTGCATGAAAACAATAATGATTAAGTTTAAATACACATAAAACCCATAAAACTGCATAAGTATGCTAAACAGATTACCTGATATTATTGCTTGAGGTGCTAATGTAGAGACAAAAAAATAAATAAATAAAGTAATCTGTAAATTAAGATATGCTATCTTAAAGTTTTAACACACATAACACTCTTAAAACTGCATAAGAATGCAAAACACATTACCTGATGGTACTGCAGATGACGCTATAGTGAATATAAACTAACATATACTAATTAATTAAACAGTTTATTTTAGAGTGATAAAACCGCACACAAACATCAAAAAACGTGTGTTAAAATTAAACAAAAAGAAACATAAGTGTACTTTGCTTACCAATGGAATTTTCTAAATTTTCTAAATAGAATAAAAAAAACTCATTAACATTAGGAAAGAAACTAACATGCAGAATATTATTAACTTTAGGAAATCTATAAATAAAGTTGGAACAAAACAAAAGGCAAAAGTAACAATCACAAAACAAAACAAACCAAAAAAGAAAAAAGCGACAAAAAAAATAAAAAATAAAAATAATAAAAACAATCCACAAGAACAATATAGTAACTTACTAAGTTGTTGAAATATAAGCCCTACAAAAAAAAAAAATATCAAAAAAGCTAAAAGACCATAGAATACACCTTTTTTTTTGAAAGTAAAATGCTATATCTTTATCTATAATACACAAATGTAATATAATCAAATTCTGTTTACCCATTGAATGTTCTAATTTTTATAAATAAAATGAAAAACTTATAAACATTAAAATAAACTAACTTGCCGAATATAGAATAATTTTATGTTAAATAAATATGTAATAAAAAAAATAAAGAGCATTACAACAACAATAACAAATTGCTTACTTAGATTCTCAACAGAATCTTCTAATTTTTCTAAATAAAATAAATTTAAAAGTTACAAAAGTCACTTGCTGACTGACAAACTGTCACAACTGACAAAAGTCAGTTGCTAAATAACTTTAAAAAAACTAAAAAAGCATAGATGTATTTGCACACAAAAAAAACAAAAAACAACAACAAAATTCCTCACTTAGCTTGTCCATTACTTCCGCTAAACATTAAAAAAAAGTTATAACTAACAAATTGAAATATATATCTTTGTAACATATCCTTCTCATACAAAATTAGCTTACTTGGCAAGAGCTCTTCGGCTCTGATCTCTTGAACATCTAATATATATATAGACAAAATTAATTTTCAAAATATTTACTTTTTTAATTAAACATATAAGATTTGTCTTAAATTATAAAACTGTTGCACAGTTTTATAATTTTACACATTCAGTAAATGACAAAAAGTTTCATTTTACGTAAAAGTTTAGTAGTTAGAAGACTTAAGCGTACGTTTCGTAATACAAAAATCATTTAATATTTGTTTATATCTTAATATTCGAGCATTTCTATTAGCGGATTAGGCGAAATTTTGTGGGTTTTCTGTTTGTCACCTTCTGGAGTAACTAAATTTTTTTTTTTAGGTTTTAGATTACAATTTTTTTTTTCATACCTTTCCGTACTTTTTAGGACTCTTGACCAGTTAGTTTTAATAAAAATTTCAGATTGCATGTAAAACCTTTTTTTTTATATATATATAAGAAAGAAATTTATCTCTTTAATGCGTGTTGAACTCGCAGTTTTAACTAATTACCTAAAACATAAGTATCGCTATCATGACATATGCGCAACAAATTTCCAACAGCGTTTTTATGTTTTTAAAAATTTTTAAAAACGTTTTAAAAAATTCTCTACGTTTGGTTTCTTATAGTATATTATATCTTTATTTTTATGTAATGCGTATAACATCTATATGCATTTAAACTTGTTTTTCTTTGTTTTCTAGAAAACTGGATAGGATTTAAAAAAAAAATTGTGTAAGCAAAAGGTTTTGAACCGAAGCGAAGCACTTCAATCGCTGTGGAATGCTACATCATCTTTTTACACTATTTAATAAACAGAAAACTTATTAAACTTTAAAAAACAACATTTAATGCTTTAAAATAAAGAGATATTGTCGCAATGAAATTATTAAGTAAAAATAAATCGGTAGAATTTGATGTCATCTACTTTATAATTATACTGATTGATAATTAAAGAACTTAAAGTTTACATATTTAGATTTTGAATAGACTTTCGTTCACATTGATAAAATACAAATCATAACGGATTGTGGTTCCGAAAAAAAGGTTAATACACTACCATCTATAATTATTGGAAAGGTCATATTTTTTAATATCAAAGATATATTCCACCGTTCCCCTTTTCCCTCCCTAAAGAAAGTTAGTTTCAAGATATAGTCGGGTTTTTTTACGAACTTTGTTGGTTAGTCGGGTATTTGACACAATTTAGTCAGGTAAATTTTAATTTTAATTAATCGGGTAATTTTTTTTCGGAAGCCTTTTTTTAACGTGTATAAGACGTTTAAAAGACGTCTTTTTTACGTTTTAAAGTTTGGCGAAAAAGTGATAACAATTTCTACCTGAATTATATGTTATCTTTCTATTTATTAGGTTTACCAATAAAACTTCCCTGATTAGTTTATATTTTATTCAAAGCCCTGATTAGCTTTTAATTTATTTGCCTATTAATCACCCTTAACAACAATAACCGCCATAAATATATTCTTAGCATTCTACTTAACGACTTATCTAATTAGTCTATTTTGTCACTAAGTATAAAAAAAAAAAAATACCCATGTATAAACTGAATATCAATTTATTTATCTATTTAATTTAATATATATAATATATAATTTAATATAAATAATTTAATCTAATTAATATAATTGAAATACTACTAATCAATTTACTGATATTTTTTCTATGGCATTGTTAAAAATGGTCATATTCTGAAAGGTAAAGAAATTTATTGAAAAGAAAGTTGCACAAAAGAAAAAAAAAACTAAATAAAAGTTATTCGTTTCAAAAAACGTTTTACGAAGAGTTTTTCTATACAATTTTATTTTTAATTGGGTTTTTTTTTGAATTACGTCATAAGCATATTAAGGCGTTTTGAAAAACAGTTGCTGCATATATTTTAGGGTTCATTATCGAAATTGCAATTTTCGAAAATTTTCGATTAAAACGTTATCGAAATACTTCTTTTTTTTCGAAATCTAAAAAAACTTTCGATAATAACCGAACTAGCCATATTAATTTCGAAAAAAAAAAGTAATTTAGAAATGTGAAATTAATTTCGAAATAAAAAGGTGGATTACGAAACAGGAAATTAATTTCGAAAGGAAATAAAGAATTTCGAAATGTGAAATTAATTTCGAAATAAAAAGGTGGATTTCGAAATAGGAAAATAATTTCGAAAGGAAAAAAAGAATTTCGAAATGTGAAATTAATTTCGAAATAAAAAGCTGGATTTCGAAAAAGGAAATTTATTTCGAAAGGAAAAAAAGAATTTCGAAATGTGAAATTAATTTCGAAAAAAAAAAATGTATTTCGAAAAGTGATATTAATTTCGAAAGAAAAAAAAGAGTTTTGAAAAGTCAAATTAACTTCGAAAAAAAAAGTATATTTTGAAAAGTCAAATTAATTTCGAAAGAAAAAAAAGAGTTTCGAAGTGTGCAATTAATTTCGAGAAAAAACCAATAGATATTTGGTAAGCTAAATTAATTTCGAACTTATTAAAAGAAATATTAAAAGAAATATTGAAATTTTTTTCTTATAGAAAACGTTTAGATTCTTTTTCGAATTATTCTAAGGAGATGTTCTTAGAATTGCTCTTAGAAGAATTTTATTTTTAATAATGTTTTTTTAAAAACTTTTCCATATAAATGGTTCACGGTATTGAATTTGAAATGAATTGAGTTTTAAATAAGATCTTGGAATTACAAAATTATCAGATGGGTATTAATGAGATATTTCTGCAAAGTAAGAGTGAAATATATAAGGAGATAACGCATGATTTGATTTAAACGTAAAAAGCATAACTTGGGATATATTAAGTTTATAAATAAAAAAACTATGAATAGGGGAAGTCAGGGTACAGTGGATTGAGGGGCACAGTGAATAAGAAGCATTTTTTCAAAGATTATGATTTTGTTCATCACGATGATGTAATAAGTTTATGTGCGCATATATCACCCATCTTTATTTATAGGTGTTACCACATAATTTTTGACTCTCGGTTTTAGGTAGGTAATTTATGTTTTTAGCTAACTAAAGTAAATGCTCTTACCATCTTTATGTTTGTTGTGGAGATCATGGTTAAAATCATTTTATAAGTTAAAGTTTTATATTCGGAATACTGATCTTTATGGTTCATTTTAGTAGTTTTGCTTTTCCTTTAATAAAACTCATGCCCCAAGAAATTAAACTTGAACCTTATTTTTTATAGTGGGGCACAATGAATCGGGGTACCGTGAAACGGTTAATTCACTGCGATAAAAATGTTTATAAAAATTAAAAATTCACTTTAAAAAATTTCTTGTATTGTTGGTTAAATAAGTTTTATTAAATAATTTTTTTTTTGTGATTTTAGATGGTTGAATAAGTTTTGTTATCAATAAAATTTATTCTTTATTTTGTTAATCAGAAAAAATTTAAATTATTTAATATTAGTTACCAAAAGTGCACCAAAAGTATAGTGTACAATGTATTTACACCCTCATCCTCAAAATTATTTGGCTACGCCCCCATTAACTACCACTAAATTGCAAATGAGTTAATTGTTTCACTGTACCCCAGTACTGGGGTACAGTGAATCACTTAACAAAACTCACTTTAAACCTTTCTGTGAGCTGTTAGATAATATATATTTAGATTTTAGTTATTTCTTATCATGAAGGACATATTCTCAATCCTTTAGCCTTGACAAACATAAAATATATATTTTAACTTTCACTCAAATTAAAAAAGAAAGAAATTCGACCCACTTTGCCCCACTCTCCCTAAATGAAAAATATATAATTTTCAAAGACTCCGTATTAAGAAAATTATATATTTTTTATGCTAAATAAAGTTAAGGTTTAACTATATATAGCATTGAAGTATTTTTGGATATTTTAATTTCAATAGATTTAATATGATATTTCCATGATATATTTTCATCTATAATCACTCCTAGAAAGTTAAAAAAAGACTCTCTTCTAATCACTTTTTTGTTCATAAAGATTTTCCTCAAGTTAGGGAAAGATAAAACAATCCAATTTATAATTAGTTGTTTGGACAACAAGATTTCTTAAAAAAGGGCAATATCATAACAGTAAATGCTACTGCTACAAGCTATGAAATTAGTCCTCTTTAGTTACAAATTCTAAACCATTCAATAACGGGGAAAGATTATTTAAATTTACGAATCATTTACACACACACCTTCCTAAATGCATTTTTTGTGCATTTAGTCGGCAAAAATAACCCTTTTAAAGAAGTCGGCAAATGTAGACCTTTTAGACAGGTCAGTCGTCGAACTTCAAAAAACAAGGACCTAATTTTTTACTCAACAAAAATTTTAATGACACCCCACCACGTCACACCTACTTGCACCTGCCCTGATGGCAGCTCAATCATTGGATATTGTTGTTTTTTCCAGAATTGAAAAGAATGTAGCAGAAAACATATTGTCATTAATTAAGCTGTTTGTAAAAAAGTTCATCAGATAAAAAAAAAAGAATACAAGTGCTTTAAATTACTAAGATTTATAAAATACACTTTTACTAAATAATTTTTTTTATTTTAATAAAGAAATGTTTTTGATTACTTGTTTTCTTTAA